CCGATGAGACAATCGGGCGCACAAACTGTAAACGGCCTGATTTGTTTGATGACAACAATGAGACGATTGGCGCATTAATGTCGGAGAGGAATGCAGCATTTTCTGCACATGTCACAGACCCCAGTGACTTGGGGAAGGGTAGTCAGTTTCGCAAACTTCGACGGCGACTGACCCGAGAGCTCCGTCGCATTAAAAATGCATGGTGAACGGATAAGTCGAAGCAGATGGAATGCTACGCCGAACGCCGCCAACACAAGGAAGTCTTCGACTCCTTGAAGGCGGTCTATGGACCGAGATTGGAGCCGCTGAGGACGCTGATCGATGGTAGTTCAGGAGCTACCTTTACGCGGACAACAAATATAACGTAGCTCTGGCGAAAACACTTTGAATGTCTCTTGAACAACCGTTCAGATATCGACTACCTACATGGAACGGCCTTAAGCAGCCCGATGTGAAGACGAGTCTGGCGGACACGCAGACACTGGAAGAGACGCATAGAGCTCGTGCTCAGCTGCGAAACGGTAAGTGTGCAGGAACCGACGGAATCCCGCCTGAAGTATTGAAACACGGTGGACCCGCGTTGTTGATTGCGCTGCACCACTTGGTGCAATGCGTATGGATTGAGGAGGAGGTGCCTCCTGAACTGTAAGATGCCCTTGTGCTACCACTGTACAAGGGTAAAGGTAGCAAGCAATGTTACATGAATTATCGTGACATCAGCTTGCTGAGTTGTTTGGACAAGGTGATTGCCCGAATCCTGCTCAACCGCCTCGTCGTTCAGGTTGTGGAACCGAAAGTGGCGGAAGAGCAGTGCGGATTCCGTTCGGGTCGCAGCACTATAGATATAATGTTTGCGGTTCGTCAGTTGCAGGAGAAATGCAGAGAACGACACCAGCCATTGTACTCGCTTTCTATTGATTTTACCAAGGCATGTGATACGGTGAACCGTGAGGCATTGTGGCTGGTGTTGGGTAAGTTTGGTTGCCCTCGTAAGTTTGTAAGTTTAATTGAATGTCTGCACAGTGGTATGCGAGCGAGGGTGCAGCTGAGTGGAGAGACCTCGGATGACTTTACAGTTGTCTCTGGTATGAAGCAAGGCTGTGTCTTAGCTCCTGCCCTGTTTAATATATGTCTTCATACAATGTTGTCCTGTGCTTTTGATGCGGCTTGTGCTTACGGTGTTCGTGTGGAGCACCGTATTGATGGTGGGTTGCTGAACATCCGTCGTTTCGGTGCGAGTACCCTAGTCTGTGAGACAACTATCCGTACGTTGCTGTTCGCTGACGACTGTGCGTTGTTTTCACACAGCGCGGATGAATTGCAGCATATGACTAGTGCTGTGGCTTCGACAGCGGACAAAATTCGGACTCACCATCAACACAAGCAAAACTGTCTGTCTCTTTCAACCTTCACCGGAGGTGCAATCTTCAATATTGCCGCGAATCAGCATTGGTGCTGAAGTATTGGAAACCACCTCCCGCTTCAGCTACCTTGGAAGTGTGATGTCAACTGATCAGCAGCTACACGTTGAGTTGCGTATTCGCGTGTCGAAGGCAGCGGCGGCATTCGGGAAGCTTGAGTACCGAGTGTTGAACAACCAACAGCTTACCATTGGCACGAAGCTGATGGTGTACAAATCCATGGTGCTGTCCGTTCTTCTATACGGCAGTGAAACGTGGACGACGTACCGTCGGGATGTGCGATATTTCGAGCGGTTCCATCAGCAGTTGTTGCGACGGATTTTGAGCATCGGTTGGAGCGACAGAGTTGCTGACACGGAGGTGTTGCGCCGAAGTGGGATGTATGCAGTGGACTGCATACTTTTAGTGAGACACCTGAGGTGAATCGGTCATGTGAGCCGTATGAATTCGACGCGGATACCGAAACAATTGTTATATGGTCAACTGAGTATTGGGAAGCTGCATGCAAAGGTACATTACCCAGGACATGATTAAATTGATCCTCAGACGTTCTAATCTTGATTGAAGGTCATGGGAATCGAAGGCGGTTGATCGGTGTGCATGGCGCGATCTGAGCACGAAGGCAGTTGCCGTGGTGCAGGAGAAGGCCCTCATGCATGCGGAGAAGAAGCGGCAAATGCGGAAGCGGCAAGTGCGGAAGCGGCAAGTACCGATGGGTTGTACTACATCAAAATCGTGCGCATGGTGCTGTAACACATGCGGTCGCGAGTGCCTGAGTCAGGAAGGCCTAGTGAACCATGAGCGAGGCCAATCGGGATCAATACCGAAGAGACGACGGGTGCTGCAGAGAACGTAGACAGAACCGGCGCAGCGTTCTATTTACTAACCGCGTGCTTACATGCTAAGTCTCTTTCTTTCAGGTGGTGGGTTTCCAATTTTGTCCTAATGCTTTTCTTTCTCATATAAATGTCTATCTGTACTCTCTTCTAGAAAATTGCACAAGTCGATTAGGCCAACTATAGTTAATTTCGACAACAACTTGGTGCTTGTGTCATTTCCGTAAAATATACTTTCTGACCCCGTGAACTTATCTCGGATCCTTTGTTAACAACTTATTTCATATGCTCATCAATTTACGATTTGTATCACGTTTCCTTATGCATTAATCGATTTTCTTTTATTTGTTAGCTTTCTCTCAAGTGATTGGATGTTGCTTGATATCCCCGGTGTGGCTGCACTTGATGTGCATGTTGACAAGGTGCCTACCTATCTATTACCCACTACATCTTTCATACTGGCTCCAGGAGACAGCTAGTCGTTGCTGGAGGGGACTGGGTGCAGGTCCCTGTGGCCGTGTTAGGATCAAAGAGTGATTTCATGCACTCAGTTTGGAGCGGACTACGGTCCAGCCACCGCCTTGTGTGCGCTTGATTTCCCCAAACACAGCGTGCTTGTGTTTGCTTGTGAAGGAGTGTGGGCCGGCTCCGTTGATGAAACGTGGCTCCCATCCACATGCCTCCCGGTCTTATTCCTTCGGGTTTCCACTGGATATGGGGTGTGTGGTTGGAGCTGTGTGTGGTGCAGCGCAAGCCACCCATGGTCCCTCTGTAGACGCAGGCGTCCTGTGGCTGGCCACAGTGACAGGCAAATCCGAAACCGGATGCCGAAAACCATGTGTGTATGTGTGCCCCACGCTGAGGCTGATGTTGCATTCGTGATGCTTTTTCACCGCATTTGGGCTAAACCAACAAGCTTAAGGTAGGTCTTTTAGAGCTGGCTAAATTTCGTTCCAATTTATTTGGTTTGTACTGCCTACCTGAATAATCTTCTACTCATTGGCCACGTTGTCTACGCAAATTGCGCTTATCTTCGGTAACTTTGTTGCGTTTGTAACATTTCTAAGTAACTTGTGGACATTTCTTACTTATCGCGGATGCGTTGCTAACCAACTTAATTCATATGCTAATTTAGCGGAGTTATGCCACCGTATCTGTATGCATTATTTGAGTTAGTGTATTTTAGCTTGTCGTTTCAAGTGAATTGCTGTTGCTTGATATCCCCGGTGTGGCTGCGCTTGATGTGCATGTTGACAAGTTGCCTACCTATCTATTACCCACTACCTCGTTCATGCTGGCTCCAGGAGACAGTTGGTCGCTGCTGGAGGGGACGGGTAGCACGGTTCTTGTGGCAGTGCTAGGCTCAAAGAGTGGTTCCATGCACACAGTGTGGAGCGGACTACGGTCCAGCCACCGCCCTGTGGGTGCGCTTGATTCCCCAAATACAGCGTGTTTGTGTTTGCCTGTGAAGGAGTGTGGGCCGGCTCCGTTGATGAAACGTGGCTCCTATCCACATGCCTCCCGGTCTTATTCCTTCGGGTTTCCACTGGATATGGGGTGTGTGGGTGGTGCAGCGCAAGCCACCCATGGTCCCTCTGTAGACGCAGGCGTCTTGTGGCTGGCCACAGTGACCGGCAAATCCGAAACCGGATGCCGCCAACCATATATATATCGTGATCTTTGTGCAAATATTATGTCATCGGACTCATGTTAGAATAGGAAAACTGAATTGGAGTAAGAAGAGAAAACGGTCAACTTTCACTCAGTTTTGCAGTCACGCTTTTCGAGTTTTTTATAATTTTTTATTATGGGAGTGAAAGAGGATCATCACAACAAGCAGCGATACACGATCGCCGCTGGCTTCGATGTCTAGCTATGATTTCCAGGATCGCCAAACAGCTGCATTCAGCATCTCTGGAACTCCATTCAGTGAGTCGAGAAGAACCGACCCAGGCCAACTGTTTTGTCAGATTTTCAGCCTTCTCCAAGTCACAAATTGCACATCACGCCACCTCCTCATTGCTCTTAAAGTTGCCGGTTTTGAAGGACGGCTCTTAAATATCCAAGCCCCAGGTCTTTTTGCTGTCGCTTATCGACTGGCGATATGCCATTGCTCTACAGGCGACTGCTTTGAAACCTGAAACTTCATCGATATCGGATGCTTCCATTAGCTATCCAACATTATCAATCATTTCCAGCGTTGTTCCCTACTACCTTTTCACACAAGTCATAATTCTTCATTGCCAAAAATGCAGCTACTCAGACACAATTCATCAAACCACTTCTTCTACATGCCCGTTCAATGCGTACTAAGATGCACACTCTAGCGATAGACATTCGACCATCAAAATGCATGTAAATCAAGGGAAGAAATACTTGTCGTAAATCGAAAGCCGAATATAACACAGAGAAATCCCTGATTTCTTTAGTGGGTATACCACCCAGTTGCCCAAAGCGATGTATGGTTTCCGGGTTACAAGCTTGTGTACCAAAGTCCCGGCTGGCAAAACCATCGATTGAGCTCCCGAAGATGATTCGCCAGCTCGTTGAAGCCGTACGTGTCTTTTCGTCAGCGGCGTCGAAACACACCCTTGATTTGACCTACATGGTAATAGAAACACAACGGTCTACATTGCACAAACACCCCATTGACACTTATGTTGTTCTGCGATGATTGGCACTTGTTTACTTTATCATCGACCTAATACACTAACATTGGATGTCATGCTTCCTCGGACAAGTTCACGTGCATTGAGGGTATGTGTTTGCACGCTCGCTCACTGGTATACGCTGCGTGCAGTGTGGTTCGCAGTGCAGGTCTAATCTATGTGAGAGTTACATCTCGTCATTTCCTTACAAAGGATTTGTGTTTCGTTTCGGCTTAGCACTGTGTATCTGCGTCACGATGGTATCTAGATGAGTCGCATGTTGAGCGCCCTGAGGATTACTTGAATGACAGAAACGGGCGGCGCGTTCAAAGACTGTACACCTGGTCGAGTTCCCTGGTGGGCTCCATCGACAATTACTGCATTTGCCATCATCTGGGCGCTGGGTGTGAAGCTGTCCTCCTTTATTTCTGTTCTGCTTCGTCGACATAAGCGCCATCGGGAAACGCATACCCGATCGAAAGGCACTCGCAGTGAATTGGATTTGGAACGCGGGGATCGGTACAGTTTTCAGAGCTCCGGTACTCTCGATGACAGCCGAGAGCGCGTCACGGACGGAGAAAGCACCGACAACTACACTGAATGTGAACTTGGAAAGCATGTTCCACCACCTGAGGCAAGAAAACGTGGATTCTCTGTGAAGAGCGGTTCGATCAAATTAGCCCCAGAAATTGTTCATCCTAGTGTACGTTTTCAACGTCTAAGTTCCGTTCGAGTGGGCATCCAGACTGCACCGTGGCAACCAGGGCAGATAGGCGGTTACAGCCGAGCCACAATCAATCAAGTAATGCGTCGAGACGACATCACATCCTTGACTAATGAGGAGCGATATGGAAGATTAGGAAGGTGGCTTAAAAAGAAGCACATCGGTCTATCACCCAGGCAACAGCTGATGATGAAGTTATATTGTGAACGATTTACCACCGTCTCATACCCCGCTGGAATTGTAATGGTAAGCAAAATTGCATCTGATAACAAACAGAGTATTATTGGACCTTAGGCTTTTTTTACTTTTATTTAAGCCGACCTAGCTTGTCACTATACCCTTTCGGTACCTAGAGCTATCCGTCCAACCTATGTTTGCCGCTCAAATTTCCTCAGGTAGTTCCGACTCAGTTTTCGAATACACACGCTTCGCAACTGAATTCTGACCTGCTGTTCACAATTTTAGATTTTGGACCACTGGCTGAAGTCGTTAGTATAGTACATCCCAACTTGTAATGAGCAGCTCAAGTTAAAAAAGATAGAACACCAGCTTAATCAGAGATCGTAGTGTATCGGTCAGTTAAAGACCTGTTAACACGAGTTCTGAAGGGGTGGAACATCCGCATCCGCAATGATTAAGTCGCCGATATCAGTAGAGATCGGAACGGCCGCTTGCACTCAGTTGAGTATCAGATATGTACTCTGTGAAGACATATACCTATTTTTAGAATGTTATACAAACACTGGACATCCAGCTAGTTATTAGTTTACTAAAAGTCTTAGTTCCATTTGACTTAACTCCTCCACGGCCTTACTTAACTTTGCACTGTGACACCGCATCTACCCTGACCATACCAGTGTCCGAAAACCGATGTCTTCTACCAATTCCTGAAGTAGACTGGGATAGTTCGTTAGTTGTTTCGCTAACTTATTATTGTCAGGAGGGGCGGATTGGACAACTGCAGGGACGGTGAGGGTATGGAAATTACTTTAACGTGGCAGACCTCTGTCCCTTCAACAGGACTTATAACTGATGAAAAGTGAACAATGATTTATCACGGATAAAAAAGCAGATGCGTGACAAGTCTTGTAGGATGGTTGAAGTGAAAACTAAAAGAATCAGAGAAGCAGATGATCGTCAGTTTAAGCGTCTACCGATTTAAATACACTACTGCGTAACAACAGTTTGAAATGGGAGTGGAATGTGCACACACACATATACACACAGATTGAAAAGGAGTGCATTTATAGTTCACTTATGCCATGGACAGTGATACAAACTGGAAACGGTAACACTCAGGTGTGTGCTTTATTTGACCAGTGTGATACATAAATCAAGGTTAGGTATATCTAAGCTATTCACCTGGACACTGATGCATGTTTCCTGATCGCCACGTTGCGGAAAGAGCTGTTAAACACAACTTGGCTTGCGCTATTTCGTCCTCCAAGTGCAACGGATCACATAAGGTAATGGAAGTGGGAAAGTGTGTCATTAAGGCGTTTTTAAAGCGTTAACGTACAGGCAAGAATGACGTGAGTTGGAAGCGCGTTTAAGGTTCGGGGCACCCTCAGGGAGAAAGTGATTTGTCGACAATCAAGTCGACTGTAGTGCGTATCCAGTTTGGACTGGTGACCTCTCAGGTTGATATTTCGGCTCAGCTGCAACAGATTGGGAGATGAGTGAACTGGGTTTGTCAGTATTAAGTAAACCACAATGAGGTCACCTTGCTGACGTCGGTATTAACCACTGTATAATTTCAGGGTTTGCAATCTGCGCTGGTACGGGAGTCACGTCTGACGAGTTTGGTAGCGCCACGTTGGGGAGCTCAAAGTGTGTCGACGTCGCGCTTGTTCCAGAGAGGCCAGGCTTGATCGCGTACTTCATGTGAGACCTCATTTAAACGTTCAGAATTTGTGGAAAGCGTGATGGCTAGAAGTTTCCGAAAGGTGCTGACTGGCTCTCCTTGATGCCTTTTCAGCCTGTTTCAAGCAGCCAAGGTATTCTTGCACGATTACCCCGACGTCGCTTTATGCGTGTCATGTTGCAGCAGCTGATCACCCAGACGATAGTCGTCAGTACACTGACGGCGTATGCTCAGAAACTTACATTTCGCCAGGTTAAACTGGATCCAGTTCTCGGAGGACTACGTGTATGCCGTATCGGGATCGCCTTGTACTGCCGCATGGTCGTCCATTGTCTTGTTATACTGCCAGATTTTGACGTCGTCTGCAAATACTAAGGAGTTCGACTGCAACACGCTAGCAAGATGGTTGATATGTGCTAGGAATAAATATGGTCCCAGCACCGATCCTTGCAACACACCACACAGAACTTCAGTTGGGTCGGAGATGGATCTGCGGTCTCACATTCAGCTGACATTGTGGGAGGAATTTGCTTACCCAATCGATTTCATGGCTTCGAAATTTATGTAGGAGGATGCGGTGGTCCAGATGATCGAACGTTTTAGAGGACTCCAATTAGACAAGGTCGACTACTACACTGGCATCGACTGAAGTGGGCTTATTGATCAACCTGGGGTACTGTGTCAACCGTAACCATGGTCCATGTATATGTTGATCATATGTGCTTCTTTCTGAACTTGCCACTTTAAAAATTAGCCTCAGCAGACACATTGGTTGTCTGGGTGAAGACGATGGCACATTTTTGTGACGGCGTTCAGCCAAAACTACTTCTGTATGGGGGAATGATCCGCGACTCAGCCGTCTTTGTGTTTGCCTCTAGTGTGCACGTTTTCATAAATTCTACGTCACAGTGCTTTGAGTGCTAAAGAGATTTATAAAGTCTCAGAATACACCTCAATTCCGATCATCATTATGCACGTTAGCTACAGGTGAAGAACGCCTTAGCTAATGTGCCGCAATACGAAAGACAAGAAAAGAACCTGCAACAGTCACACGTCGGCTGAGTCACCCGTAACGCATGGATATCATTCCGGAGAGCTAACCGCCGGCTGTTGTGCCGCAAAAAGAATTATATTATGCCTAATAGCTGAGATCGTGTTTGGAGGGAGTGGCTAAGCCAGAGGGGAAGGGGCAAAGAAACTCACAACACAAACGTCATTGAGGTCGCTCCTGGCCATGGTAAACAATGTATCCAGCCAAACATGTTCATCGTCCTTCGGTCCCCGATCAGGGAGACGAGAGCCTCCCACCGAGGCCAACGTTAAAGTAACAAACTTCATTCCTCTGGCCCAACTCATCGCATGGCCTCCGTTGCTCCTCTTCCAACTGCACTTCGGCGAGCAAACAGCGCACATCACCGGAGTCGGTGGGCTGACATACGCAACACGTGGCCCAGCCATCTGAGCCTGGTACGGAAATAAAGGTGCTGAGCGGTTCTCTCCTTCTTCTTACGCCATAAACAAGGTGTTGAACACGCTCATTGCACACACGGTGTCCTCACCAGATATGAACCAAACTGCGAAGGCGCCGGTGGTCGAAAGTAACTAGCCCTTTTATGTCGGCTGATCTAACGGGCCATGTTCCACAACCATAGAGTAGGGTCGAGTGTACGGCTGCATTGTACACTCTACCCTTCAGGGAGAGATTGATGTCGCGCCGGCACCTTAAGCGGCGAAGGTAAGCAGAAGCGTCGCATGCTTTTGCTGTACGGTTTGTGACGTCGTCTTCAATTCTCAGCTTGTCACTGGTGACTTGTATATCAATGGTAACAAAATCTAAATGTTCCATGTCCCGCCGCGTGTTCTGTTGCGAGCGTTAAAAAGAGAACCACATATAACGATTATTGGAACAATTGTATAAAGGGAGCAAAAAGCCAAGGAACGATAACTCGCGCAGAATGGTTTAGGTGAAATACATTGGTTAAAAGTCAAAATATAGACATCATTTTTAATCGCGAATATGCGGACTCATCATATTACACACGTACATACATGTAAACCCGTCTATCCCGATTTCGTGGAGGCTGGTGAGCACCGTCTTCTCTTCGTCTTGTCACCACTCAATGAATACGAGTCTTGTCACGTATAACAAAAGGTGCAATGCGTTGTCGACTCATACATTTTACAAAGGGATAATCTGGGTACAGAAAAGAAAAAAATCAGAGGACCGTTCCATGGCTGACATATTCGGAGAGAGAGTAAAATTCTGGCGGCTTTCCAGCCGATTGTAATGGATAGTCAGTTCCATTTGGCGGCACCTCAGTTCTGTTTCTCGGCTGAGTTATAAATGGCGGCGGTAAAGGTGACTAGGATTCTCTGGAATCTGATCGTCAGAATGAGACGATGACTTCCAATGTACACTCCTAGGGCTTTCAGTCGCAATTGGTAAGCCGGATAGAACAAACCCTTCGATATGGGGTTCCCAGTGCAGTCAGGTCTCGTACTATCCAGGTTTGCTAGGCCTGAATGGTGTACACTACATGGTGTCTCACATACGCATTGAGCAGTTGCAGTTAGCTGAGGGGTTGAACTGCCCGAACACCATCTGTGGAAGACTAACACGTTGGTTCGCGATTTTTGACACCAAGCACTACACCGAACAGCCGTGGTCTTCTTGCCACACCACCCCAAGGTCGAACTCTTGTGAGGCGGTAATCACGACATTGTCTCCAAGCTTATATGTGTCAGTGAGCTTGTGTCGGACATGTGCAGATTACACTTGTCTGCGCTAGGTGGGAGCAGATTTGTCTTTGCCAATGCGAAAACACTGCCTAGGTCTCTCTGCAACAAAATGCGGTCTTTCTGATCACTAATCAGACGTCAAATCTTGATGTCCTCGGTAAAAGCAAGAAATGAGACTCGATTACACTCGAAAGATCGTAATGTAGACTGCGAATAAGCGTGGCTCAAACCAAATCTGTGTGGAACATCGCGGTTCACCTCAACGCGACTGAACTGTGAGATTTGAGCTAGAACCTTAAGCCACCGCCTAAGAAGGAATTCCCGATCCATCCATTGACAGGGTCCGCATTTCCCCTATCTACAGCTTCTGCTGGATGTGGTGAACTAAGCGTTCGAAAGCTGTAGAAACCTCTAGATAGACGACATCCGTTCTGGTTCGAGTTTTCGCTGTTTTGATTCAACTGCCACACTTTATCAGGGGTTGATAGTGAATGACCGATATTTGACGGAAGCCACATTGCTCCAGTGTTAGGATGACAAATGTTTTCTAGATTGTCCGTTAGTGTGTCCGCGATGATCAACTCCATCGCGTTTGAAAACTCTGGGAGGAGAAGCGCTTGTCGATAGTTGGCGAGTTCCAAAA